GCTGAACGAGAAAATTTTGGTGAATCAGAATTTTCGGAAAATTGTAGTAGCAACTATAAGAGCAGCACAAGCGAACGAGATTCCGGTGAAAATGGTAAGACTCAATGTGTTGCTTTAATGTCGCAGATCACAATGAAATCGGATTAAAATGAAATTTGGGATTTCTATTTAACCATCTAAAACTTGCTTATGCCTGTTTATTATAAGTTCTACCCCTAAAACTGACCCCTAACCCTAAAAAAATTAAAAAAAATGCACTCCCAAAATTTGTATTTTTCAGTGGCTTATCTATTTTATATTATACAAATTTCATTTTAATCTCATTTCGATTTAATCTGCCACATTTAATAATGATATATTTAAGAACTTTTTAAGGACTTGCTACACCAATTTCAGGAAACGGATCGATCACTAGCGCCGAATACCAGACGGATAGTCCTTATATTGTGGATGATTTTGATTATGAAAGTATCTTTTTGACCGGGGATGAAATTCCATTGGATGAGAAAATTGAACGACTTAATTTTCTTCAGAATGAGGTCGAGCAAAGTTCTCCGGAATCACTGAAAGAGTTTCTGAAAGCCTGCTTTCCCGAGTTTTCTGAAAATAGGATTGACGTCTTACTTTTGGAAAATGATAATAATGCTGAGACAGTTTCGGATATCATTCTGAATGAAATATGTTTGGCGGAGCAGACAAATTGTGTATATTATGATTCTTTCCCTCTGACACCACCTATTTCAGAGCGAGATGATGATTTCTCGGTATCTGACTCACGATCTAAACATCGAAAAAAGAAGAGACATCGAAAATCAAAAAAACAAGGCATTGTCATATTTCAAAACAATGCACTCCGGCCGAATTCGATGCCTAGTAGTAACCCATCATCACCTCAAATGCCGTCTTCATCATCACCTCAAATGCCGTCTTCATCATCACCTCAAATGTCATTTTCGCCATCATTTCAAGATCTGTTTTTATCAGATGGTGCAATTCTTAATCTTGAGACTAGACAATATCAGGATACGCAGAAGAAAGTAAATTCGCGCAATTATGTGAAATCGACATCAGTTACGACTTTTCGTACTTCGAAATCATTGTCTAGTAACCACACCAACATATTGGAGGATGATGATTATGTAGAAGATGACGAAGATGATCCAGAATATTGCCGCCAACAAGCAGGTGAATGTATGAAGAAACGTAATGAGGCCTTTAAAAAAGCTGTCAATGCATTCCAAAAATCTAAAGGTTCACGCAACGGTGAAGGTGGTATTGCATTTCATTATTCAACTGAGGTAAATGTTCCTATTTACAAAAAAATCGAATCTATGGCGCTCATTAATTATTAGAACAAAACATCTGTTTATATTTCTAATAGGGACGAAATTTTGATGCCGAAATGAAGAAATGGAATTTGCGAGCCGCAAGATCCATAGTTAAGCGACAAAGGTATAACGATACGTATAGTTATAATTAAAAATTCCAATATTTTAAAAGATCTGTTTTATTTCAAGTAAGAGAAACGGGGATGCCAATCTTTTAGACCTTCATGGACTTCGCGTCGACGAGGCTTTAGTTGTAGTAAAAGAAAAGTTAGATGAGTGGTATCCAAAAGAAATGATAAGAGGTAAGTTTAAATTAAATGGCTTAAAATTTAAGATGTAATTTTCATTTGTTCAAATATAAACACACATTTGGATACATTTTATTCTCAGGCCAAGCGCCATCCCGACCACTAAAGATTGTTACCGGGTTAGGTAATCATTCACCTAATGGTGTGGCAAGATTGCGAACGGAAGTCAATCGCTTATTGATTAAAAATAATTGGGATATATCCGAATACAAAGGGTATGTGATAGTTAAGGGGGTTAAAAACTAGAAATAGCGTCGATACAAGAAACTTATTTTAACAATAAATCATTTATTATAACTAAATAATCACTTAAGGATGAGATCTGTTTATTCGTTTCATATTTAAATTTAAGGATGTTTGGATACCAAATTTATTTATTTACAAATTTATTTTAAATTAAAACCGGAAAAAATTGACGGATATGGATCCCATTTTTGTTATCACTAGTAAAACGAATAAAGTTTATGTAAATGTTTAGTAAGTTTAATAATAACAATCCAATGGTATAATCTTGAATGTTATCCATTTCAAAGATATTTGCATAATAATGGCAATACTATCTACATTCGATTTTTTTTTTCAATAATAATTATGAAGTATTCGCTTATTAATGTTATAAAATTCTCTGCGCCCTCCAGTCCATCCATTCATTCTCAAAACCATCGTCGATATCCTCGTCACTATCGTCATCAGATTCGTCTATATCTTTCTTAACAATATCAACCATTTTTTGCTCACGATTATTACGAACTTTTTTG